TGCTACACAGTTTAAGCGAATGATCGAGAATAAGACACTTGGTATCGATGTGCAGCTGAAAAAACCCACCCCGTAAAAGACCTACGTTGCAACTGAAACGCCAAGATGATTGAGTTCGATGTACAGCCCTAATTGGATATTTTTTGCTACGAAGAACCTGAAATACACAGGAACAGTACGTGCGGTACAGAATTGTGGTTTTATGTAAGTACTGTAACAGTGATTTTGTAACATTCTAATGTTGTAACGTTCGCTGAAGAACATGGTATGTTGTTTAAATATTTGACTTATTTAGTGCGTTTCGTTATTTGCTGTCTAAAATATGGCGTAATTAATGACGAATTATATGATAGAATTCGATGCTCAGAACTCAGGAAATGGCATTTCCGGGGTTCAAATTTCAAAAATTTTCCGGGGGGGAATGCCCCCGGACCCCCCAAATTATGCTCGGTTTTGGAGTGCGCCACGGTCAGGGTTTAGGCTGGATCCGCGCCTGCTGTAAGAGAAGAGAAGAGAAGAGAAGACGAGACAAGACAAGACGAGGACAGGACAGGACGCAGACCAATCAGATGTCGCCACTTCTAAATTGATAATTTTACGGCGTTATGAATGTAGTCGCATTCCTGGATGTTTGACACGAAAACATGACACGTGTTTTGGGTGAGAGGAAGGACATTATGCAAGAGCAGCAAGACTTCAATCCTGAGGTGAGACAGACAAAAGTAAATTAAGAAGAAAATACTTCCATGTTTGTCTTGTTCTATAGCCTGATGGAGTAAGTCACGTTTGGTTATTCGCTCAAGTTTGGCCTGTTTCATACGTCGAATTTAATTCAGACGAATTTAATTCGTTATTAAATTCGTCAATTGGTCGACACTAAAATGGTTTCGTTTCAAACGACGAATTTAATTCAGACGAATTCATTTCATGTCTAGCGATCATGGATTACCCAGAAGTAAAAACCACGAGACCAGAAAGAGAGAAACAGACTTTAACATAATTTATGCATTTAATTCGACACGACGATAACACGGCGTATGAAACGAAGACGCGCTACAGACGTTGTATCCGTCTGACCATGACGGATACAACGTCTTGGACGAATTTAATTCATCAGACGGATTTAATTCGTTTCATACGACGCACTAACGTCGCATTTAATTGGTTCAATTAAATTCGTCTGAATTAAATTCGACGATAGTGCGACGTATGAAACGGGCCTTTGTGTCGCTCGTTGGTCGCTGGTACCGTATGATTATAATGAAAGAAAGAGCAAGTGAGTTTACATTTGTCACTGTTCTTCTGCAGTAAAAATAAATTAATCTGAATAATGACTAGTAATACATCTTTGGATCTGTAGAATATGATCTGTCTGTATAAAAGATTACTGTCTGAACAAAATTTGTTAATAGGGACGAACTTTTAATTCTGACCGAGAGGTATCTGAATTGGCCACCGTTTTCCATAGTCCCATCAAGAATGCATGAAAACCATCGCCATATTAATGCAAAAGAGATGGTTTGGAAAATGAGCTTCGAAGGAAAATAGAAAAAGAAGAAGACTCAGGAACACCTAACGTCGAACTGTTGCAGAAGAGCTAGAGGGGATGAACTGGCTTCGGAAGCTGGCTCAGAACAGACAGGGATGGACTTTTGTTGCTGCTTTACATGCAGGAAGGCATGATTGACAGTAAGCATAAGTAATCATTAAATAAACAAACTTGTCAATGTTGTATTAATTTTAAGTACAGTTGGTTTGTGAAAACAAATCATAGTAAGTACTACAAGTCCGCATATCTTATAAATCAATCCTTATTTATCAAACTTACCGTTAAACGCGTTGATTTTGAGGATCTTCGGTCTCCCTGAGCAAACGTACACGAATCAAAAACGACACCGAACACTTTCCGTGACTCTCGTGAGGGATATAAAAGACCAAAGCCTTCAATGTCTAAAACTGATCCGTCAAACTCCAGGTTCACCACAGCGACAGTAGCTGCATTGATCTTCAGAAGATGTTTTGCCAACACGGCATGCTCTTCAGGAAGTATTCCAGCAAGTTGTTTCGAGGAAATACCACTAATGAGATGGTCGGCCACAAATACGTCACCTTTTCGAGCTCCTTTTGCTTCAATTTTTTTGTCTTCATTTATCTTTATCGACGTTAAGTGAGTCGTTTTCAATATCGTAACACCAGACTCCAGTAATTTGTTTTCTAAAACTTCAACCAATGTTGTCAAACCTTTCTCGAAAGTCCATTGGCACCAATTTTCTGCGAACGCTTTCGCAACAAGTGAGTTAGCGTCTTTGGGAATCTCTGGGCCTTAATTAAAATAAAACAATACTCAGTATCGATGGCCTGATTCATATCCCTGGCTCGAGGCGGCCGAAGCCCTTGTCGCGCGAGGCTGGTAATCTCCAATGGTCGGGATATTACCACCTATGCAATTTAGAACGTCCGCATATCAATGCAGGAACGAGATTTGGGTTATTTACGTTCCAGGTAATCACCATGATGTCTTGTGGTACAAAGTAGAGTGACAGAATTGTTGGTCATGCAAAGGGTTGAATACACACAATCTCATTCAATACATACAACTCCCAGGTTCTTTCCACTACGCTCCTCGGAGGTTGGAATACATACTGCAGTATAAAGAACATTGGAAACTTTTCTGAATTTCAAGCAAGAATGAAAATGTTCAATAAATATACAAGAAAAGTGTAGATGCATGGGTAGGGATTCAACAACCTGAAAAATACAAGTAAAACGTCGACGTTTCGAGCGAAAGCCCTTCGTTTGGAAAGTCGATGTATTTTTCTTGTTTTCAGAGGCCGGTTGTATAAAACTCTTAATCACTTTTTTAATCACTATTTTGTAGTTAAATAGTGATTAACTCTCAAATACGCGCTTCTTATTGGATGACGCTTCCACTAACTATAGTTAACTTTAATCACTGGTAGTTGAATCCAACCCATCTACAGTTTTCTGGTGTTTTTGTCCATGATGACAGGAAGACAGGCAAATCCAAGTTCAAATACTATATAGTCAATAACATGCAATGTTTGAAATCGTTTTCCTGCGAGGGAGAGGTAAGTTTATAATATATTACAAAGAGAGCTAGTTGCAAAATGCGTTCGATTATAATAATACTGTGGAGATTTAAGAATTAGTGCATTATGAAAACTAGCTAGCTGGTTATTTTTAAATTTGAAAATGCCCAGCACTCGATGTAAGTAGCGCCGGTGGGTAATTAGTGGAATTAGTGGGTTTGAGAGAGATTCAGTGGAGGAGGATAGGTAACGAGCGTCAAGAATCGTCTTTGCAGCCTTGTTCTGAAGGATTTGTAGTTGATCCATGAGGGTGATATTGTTCTTATCACCCCATATAATGTCAGCGTAGTCGAATAATGGGAAGATAAGACATGCACTTTAACTCTTCTAAGCAATCCAATACGTTAGTTTTATCGATACGTTACTTAAGTGATCGGACCAAGTGCGATTCTCTGAAAAGGTGATTCCTAGATATTTAAAAGTTTGTTCTCGAGCAAGTTGTTGGTCGTTAACGTATATGAAGATATTGCTGAATGTTTTTAGACGACGGTTTAATACCGCTAAAAAGGAGGACCTTGGAAGCACACTTTAATGTCAGTAGATTTTCATCAAGTCATTTACAGATTGAATGAAGATCTTCATTAACGCATTGCTCAATGTCTTTGACCAAATTAAAGGAATAATATAGGCGAGTTTCATCAGCGTAGAGTATTATTTCGCAGTATTTCACAATGTTGGGCATGCCATTTATGTAAATAATGAAAAGTAAGGGACCCAATATGCTACATTGCGGAACACCAATTGACACATGCAGGTAATGAGCCGGATAACGTATTATTAATTGACGTTTTCTGTTGACGATTGGTAAGCTATATGACTCAAACCAATTTAACGAGTTATTATCCACGCCAAATGATTTCAATTTGCGTAACAAAATAACGTGGTGAACCGTGTCGAATGCCTTGCTAAAATCCAGAAAAACAGAGGCTATGACAAGACCGTTGTCAGGATTTTCAAGAATAGTATCGGTGAAGAATTCCAGTGCGGTACTCGCAGATAACTTAGGTCTAGAGCCAAATTGAGAATACGAGAGGATTTTGTTTTCAGATAAATAGCTGTAAATTGGCGTGTGGACGAAACGTTCCAAAATTTTGCTCAGGATTGGCAGAACAGATATGGGTTTGTATATAGTTTGACATATTAGAGCAATAGAGTGATTGATTATAAATATGTCAGTTAGGGTTGGGGCGATAATTGCTGCAGCTTGTTGCAGCATCTTTCAGTAGTCTGGCGCTGATACCATCAAGGCCGGTAGATTTATTAGTTTTAAGAGTTGATATATAGCTGTTTGAAAACAGACGCAACCTCAATCTCTTTGAATTAAAATGTGGAATTAAATTTGTGGTAGTTGAATAGAGGAGAATATGTTTGATGAAAATCTTTGCTTGATTGTGTTTGCCAAATTCTTACCGATAGTAGTGAAGAAAGTATTGAAAAGAGATAATATAGAATGCGAGTTCTTGGTTTCAACGGCATCCGATATGATAGATGGTATAGTGCTGAAGAATGTGTGTTGCGCGATAATAATTCATTGAGAGTTTTCCAAAGGCCAGAGGGATTATTTTGTTTTATTTTACCAAGGACTCGTACATAATATTTAGATGTGCATTCACGTACTGCTTTGTTAATAAAACAGCGAAGCTTACGGTATGACGATCAATGATGTTGTGACTGTGTTTTTTGTGTAGTCTCGATCTTGCATCGCTCGACTTAATTCCGACGTCATTCATGGAATACTAATTCCCTTAAGTCAGTAAAACATTGCCACCAGTTGTTGACGGTAGCATCAACATCGTTTTCGTCTACAACGGTAGACCAGTTGACGCTTTTAAGATCTAGAAAGAAGGACTGTTTGTTGTAATGTTTATAAGATCTGTATTGTGTGTGGTGGAGCTAACAGTGACACCAGCTTTAAACACGCAAAAGACAAGAGAGTGGTCACTCAAAGACAAGACAAAAAAAAGTGGTGAATTGTGGAAAATGAAAACGAAATCTTACGGATAGCATGTTGGCCAGAAGTTGTGCTGTGATTTCCGAGTTTTATTCTACCGGGTTTTGTTCTTGATTTCCAGGATCGATGATTATGCACGATGGCGGTCAGATGTGTGTTAATCTCAATGGTGTTAATTAAGTGTGCTATCGCTACAGTAATTTTTATACTCCAAGCATGCAGTCATTTCAAACTTCGTCATTCGTCAAAAAACCAAATTATCTGGTGAATCAATCAATATAACCTGCTGATACTTTTCGAGTTATTGGGGAATTAACTTGTTTAAGAAGGGATATTCCAAAAATGGCTGTATCTGATTCTGTATGGATAGCGATGACTTTGCAGGCGGTTTTTTGGACGGGTTTTCTGAGTTCTTCGACACTTGATTCAATATTGACACTGAGCACTTTAATTTATAGTGTGGATCGAGCCATATAATTCTGATCAATCAAGATGATCGTAAATATAAATTATATGCAGTGCCACTTACTTTTGCGGAACAAAAGTCCCTTTACAACAGATCCTGAATTTTCTTCGAGGTTGTAGACCATAGGAAGACATGACTTTATACTTAACTTCTTTATATCACCAGCAAATACACGACATATTGGATCGATTATATAATCTGCGATCTGAAATCAGGGGTGTAATTTCAACATCTTATAAATCGAAAGCAAAGCTGAATTTAATATATATATATATATATATATATATATATATATATATATATATATATATATATATATATATATATATATATATATATATATATATATATATATAT